ATTCAGGCAATGAAAAATAAGTGTCTTGTACAGAATTCTAAATAAATCCATTGCCTTGGTAGCCATTTTTTGCATGGGGGAGTGTACTTTACTTCAAGATCAAGAAGACAACACAACATATCATAAATCTTGCAAAACAGGAGGTAGTTTTGACTTATGTTTTGTGGATTTTTTACATGAGTCTATTTGATAAAGTGAACCCATGTCCACAATAGCTGATGAGGCAAGTTTTTTACTTTAAGATTATTTTCCTATAAAATTTAATATTTGAAATAGCAATATATATAATGTAATTAACTTAAGGGATGAAGATGCATATGTTATCTCTATTAAGCAAGGAAGCCATATGTGGGCAGACAATTATACTGAAAAAAATCTGTAGACGGACAAGTTCTCCCTTTAGAGCCGTCATTGTACACTTTTTGTGCATACACAGCAACTCTGCTCAACAAAACAAATGGTTCACCCTGAACACTGAAAACTTTTCATGAAGTAAGAAATTACAAACTGGTAAAACATTTAGCCCTTTGAAATAATAGATGAAGAATTCATTCTTTTTATAATCAGATTCCAGCTCTTGAGTAAAAGTAAGCTATAAATATGTACTTGAAAGCTCCAATTTGTAAAAAAAAAATCTCTACTTTGTCTTCATATGGAATAGTAAAAAATGACAATGCAGACTCTCTAACCACACTTACATCTGCTGCTGGAATTTACTGGTGTTCAGGGAATGATTCTCAGAAGAACCATATAATGCTATAGCTACCATTTGCCACCTGTGAGTTCTTCTAACACGGCCCATAAAAAGCTGTTAACAACTTCCCTAGAAGTCGACAGGAGGAAGAAAATCAAAGCTAAATCTTTCTTTTCATGTAGGGACAAGAAGCTCTAGATGTCTTTTTCTTTATCAAATGTGCATCATTATTGTTTGTAAAAAACAGGATCTTAAGCCGGGTAAAACATGACACTTTCATCGCTTCCCTTGTCAACCATTATTCTGTTTCTTTGAGAAACAATCACAAGTCACTTGATTAAAGCAATTCTCAGTAAAGACAAAACTTCCGACTACTGTGAGTTGGAAAACATTCATGCATGCATCCAGACTAAGCGCATTTTATTGTTTGTTGGTTTGCATTCCTTGCAGGCAACATTTGAGTTGTTGGTGGCTCTTGGGACAAAGGGTGAGAGATTCAAACTATCATTCCGGAAAGAGGACACACACATACAACTACTCTGACAATAGGCTATTGCTTGTTCAGGCATCCTTACTTTTTAGAGGCAGATCTCCTTTTCCAATCTTTTCCCCTCAGAATATCTTTGTCCTAGTTTTGCCATGCTAAGACTTCCATGGATCAATTCCTTTAACACTATGTCCATATTTCATAGGCACATTAGAGAGGGGCATTAGAAAGCTGTAATTCCCATTCAATTCATGAGCACCAGCAAACAGGCAGCTACTAAGCCACATGTGACACATGTAAGGCCTTTGGGCTGAATTCAGCCCTCCACATCATTTTATGTGCCTGCAAGGACTAGAAACATTTGAGGGCTTGTAGCTGCTCCTTGTGTTGGCACCACCCGCTCTGCCAAGTTCTGACCGCATCCTCTGCTTATATATTGTTTTTTGTCTTCCTCCCCTCCAGAAAATGCCTCTCCTTCCTCCAGCTCCAGAGTCACAGGACAGTGAGAGTGCATGACAAGTGCCTGGTCCTTCTGCTATTCCATGAGGCACCAAATAGCTGGCAGGGAATGCTGCCTCCACAGGTCCATTGTGCTTATCTATCCTATTTGCTCCTGGAAGGAGCCTGAACTGCAGAGGCGATGACGCAACTTGCTAGCCTCTGCTAAGCAAGTGCTAGCAAGGAAGAGGAGGGTGGTGGCTTCAGGACTGGTAGGCTCTGGGGTGAGGATGGCCAATGGGTCATGCTGCTAAAGCCCCTGCAGAGCTTTTCTTCTAGGACCCTCCTTTGCCTTATGAACTTTATTTTCCCCTTGAAAGATTCTACTGAGGAATCGTTTCTCCTTTTCTTATGCCAGCCAATATCATTTTGTGTGATATTGTTTTATACTCATGTATCATTTTATGTTATATACTGCACTTTTTGCGCCTTGTAAACCACTCTGAGTCCCTTTTGAGAGATGGTGGCAGGATATAAATAAAGTTTATTATAAGCTTTTAATTATTTTTCCTTGCTTCTTCTTCCTCTCTCTTACCAGTGTCTCTTCCACCCCAATCCCTCCTGCAACTGCTCCTGTTTACACTGGCAAGGCTTCTGGGATCTAAATACTTACTGCCTTCAAGCAGGGGTGGATTCTGCTCTTTCACTGGTTTCCATCCTTGGTTGAGAAGAAAAGCTTCTCAAACAAGGTTTCTGCCTGTAAGTACTTCTGCTATTATTGTTGGCGGCTTCAGGGTCTTGTCAGAAACTTAAATGGCCAGTAGAAACAACTATTGTTAAAGGAATGGAAATGTTATGACCACATGTATTATAGAAAGAAGACATTGTTCATAGAGTGCAAAAAATGGGGCTTTTCTGTATACCTTCTCTTTCCCAATATATGCATGCCCTAACATTTCCACTCTTTTATAAAATGTGGCAATTGCTTCCCTTTTTGGGCTCCCTGGCCTTCTCTGTACCATCATCTGCCTCTTTGTGAAGTCACATTGCTTTTCTCCTCTGTGTGTGTATGTATCTTTTGTGTTTGCTGTTATTTTCAGAACATGATCAATGGATGAGGATGGTAAGTGGTGTGGTTATTTAACAATATGTTAAGGTTACATTTATGAAATCTTACAATTACAAACAGGCTTTTGAAGGCAACATAAGGCTGATGTGGCCCTTCATGAAAATAAATTATATCATTCACAACAGTATGCATAATTCAGTGAATTTAGAAATGTCTCAAGAAAAGGATGATCAAATGACATGGTCCACTAATTTCAAAGAACAAGTATCTTGTGGAGATAGCAGATCTCACTGCAGTGAAAGGAATATGATTGGAGGGGGATGGTTGGAGGTAGTAAGAATAGTAGGAGAAATAAACAAAACAAAAGGTAGCAATGGTATATTGAAGCTATGTGGACAGTATTGTTGAGTCAGTTCCAAATGGCAATCAAATGGATGGAACCAAGACTGAAACACCCAATTCACTCATATTCTCAAAGATGTCTCTAAAGTTTTTAAGGTACCTCATCCAACACTAGAGGTATAGCCATTTGGGGAGGCAATATGAGGGCACTGTCCCACGAAAAAAGAATTTCCTCTGCATTTTTCCTTCACTCCACAAATTTTGAGCATTACAGTGAGACACTGTTCACATTCAAAACTCTTATACGAGTATTTGTTGAGTTCACGTTGTCCTGTACCTTTGTCTGACCATTTTGTTTTGATACATAAACTTTATTTCTAAATGCTCCATGTTTAAGTTTCAAGTTAATGCAACACTAGAAATATGGTGACAGTAGAAAGAATCCTTTACTGACAGAATTCTTATTTTTTTTGGGGGGGGGGGGACAACATAGTTCCCACATAGCTACACCACATGTCACCCACATATCAGAAGACAGCAAGGAATAAAATAATATCTAAAGACCACAAAGGGGAAAAAAAGGATTAAGAAACATCTGCTTGCAAGAGACACCATATCTCAAGTTGCTAGTTGGTTCAAAATCATAGCAATTCACATACAGCAGCTACATGTGGCTTAAAGAACTGTGGGTCCTTTATAATAAAATCTAAAAGGTTAACTGAAGTAAGCTAAGGTGTGCTGCATTTTATATATCCAAATTTTTGTAGTCTTCCAACTCAAGAATTCAAAGCTGTGTCTGATAAAGTCCGGTTGCTAAAAGAACAGGAAAACCCATGCATTTTTCATAGTGATTTCTTCAGCTAATTGGAAAATTGCAGTAAAAATAAAGCTAAGAGTGCAGAATATGCATTTCCCCCTTCTCACGAAACAGAGAAATGATTTCAGAGGACATGGGACCTAGAAATATTTCAACATAAGATAGTGCTTACAAAGCTTAGATTTTGGCTTCTTCCTTTTTTTTGGAAAAAAAGTGGTGAGAAAAGAAGCCAAGTTCTGGTTGCAGACACACTTCCTCTTCACTGGGAATGACGTTAGCATGTCCACATTATTTCTAAGACACATTATACCAAGGAAAAAGCATGGCATTACAGCCAGACTTTGGTGGTTCCCCCTTCCACCTCTGCTACAACTATGATTCCCTGAAGAGCCCACAACATTTGTTAACCCAAAAGGAAAAATATAGATTTTTTTCTATAAAAAATTAAAATAAGGACCCTCTTAAACATTTCCATAAGAGCTCTATTTGAGGAACAACCCAGAGTTTCTCAAACTGTGCTCCTCCAGATGTTTTGGACTTCAGCTCCCATAGTTCCTAACAGCTGGTAAACTGACTGGGATTTCTGGGAATTGAAGTCCAAAACACCTGGAAGAGTACAGTTTGAGAAATATTGCTATAAACAATCTGTTGTTCAGCAACCTCAAATAATAACAAAACAGCAAGAGGTTGTTCTTGTTGTGTTCCTCCAAGTCATTTCTGACTTATGGCAAGGTCACTAAGGCAATCCTTACCACAGGTTTTTCTAGAACTGAGAGTGCGTGACTTGCCCAAAATAATGCAATAGGTTTCCAGGGCCAAAAAGAAAACCAGAATTATAGTCCAACATTCTAGTACTCCACATGGGCTCTTGACACAGAAGTGAACCAAATTATTTCAAATGCCATGATATCTGTGGAACACAACTTCCTGTGGAGAAATTCAGGTGTAGAATTCCAGCAGCTATATAATGTTAAATGGGTAATGGGCTCATGTCCTTCTTGCACCACCTTTTCATGGCCCTTGGTGTCATTTCCCCAGTAACAGACATATTCATCAATAATCAACAACAATAACAAAACCATAATTAATCATTTTTATAATAATCTTAAACAATCACAGACATTATAGTTGACATGTAATATTGTAAAAATACCTTTCCAAAATCGCGGACATCAAACAGGTCAAATGCTTCAAAAAGTTCACTCTTCTTCATCCCAAATGTCTCACAACAGGCTGAAAGGAATGTTCTTATATTCTTCAAACAGAGAAACTAAAAAGGGAAGAAAGAATACAATCAGTGTGCTATCCAATCATTTGAACAAACCGGTAGTTATCTATGAATACAAATATGAAAGAAATGTGGCATTATCAGGGAACAAATTATCTGTATTTTAAAAGATTGTAGAACTAAACACTTTAGGTCCCAAGAATTTTGGATAAAGAATACTCAAGCTATACAACCAGCCCATGCTGGTTTTAATGACCTATTTATCCATTTAGTCATCAGGGTACACATTTTTCCACAGAGGATTATCCGAAAGGAAAAATGAAGGGGAAATCAAAGACTAAAATTCTAATAAAAATCTTTTTCACATAATACAAATTTCCATCAGGGACACAAAGTGAGAAAGGCAATACAGGGGGAACCCAAGTTAGTTTGAAAAAAATATATCTTCAAATATATATAATTTGGATATAAGAAAATCCAAATGACTTATATTCAATAGTTAAGATATAGTACAGTGGACCCTCAGTATCTGATGGAATTTGGTTCCAGGATCCTCCATGGAAACCAAGGACCTCATCACATGGAGCTCAAGAAGCTGGGGGACAGCAAGGGAAACTGTGTGGCAGTGCCCAGCTTCATCCCCTTACCGCCGATCATGGCTGCCATCCCATGAAGTTTCCTGGCTGTCCCCGGCTAAATCCCGTGCTTTCCCCGGCTTCTTCAATAAGGTAATAGGTAGTCACCCGTATCCTCAAGCCCCCTCTTTGCATGCTGCCAGCACACTGCTGAGTCCAATGGAGCCCCACCGGAAGAAGTAACCCTGCATCATATGATAGGCTATGGCAGACTCTGCCAGCAGCATGGCAGCAGTGTACTAGGACAGAGGGGGGAAACCATCAAATGAGGTCACAAATCCATGGGTGCTCGTGGCATTCCTTATATTAAAAAAGCTAAATCAAAGTTTGTGTTTGAGATTTTAATGCCGCAGATGGTTGAATCTGTAGATTTAGAATCCATTAATATGGAAAACTGTCCATACAATTAGACTGATGCCTAGCTTTTGTTCGGATAATCCTCTGTTGACATTAAGTCTAGTTGTGTTTGACCTGGGGGAGGAGTGCTCATCTCCATTTCCAAGCTAAAGAGCTGGCATTGTCCATAGATGCCTCCAATGTCATGTGGCTGGAATGACTGCATGGAGCTCCATTACCTTACCATCAGAGTAGTATCTATTGATCTACTCACATTTGCATTTTTTCAAACTGCTAGGTTGGCAGAAGCTGGGGCTAATAGAAGGAGCTCATACTGCCAACCTAGATTCAAGTTTCTGCCCTTCCAGTCAGCAAGTTCAGCAGCAAAATGGTTTAACCTGCTACTCCACCGGGGGCTTCTTTTTGTCATAAACCTACCTTAAAATGGTATATCTAATGGTAGTGTTCAGGGACACTCAGTCCTGAACATTAGGTAGGTTGGACATAAAGATTTTCATCCAATTAATGTAAGGTAAGTTTAAAAAGACAAAAATATTTAATAATGCACAAACTAGAATGTTTTAGTCTCCCATGAGGTGTTGGTGCTACTAAATTAGTTATGTAACATTTAAAAGGAACTTTTGTGCGCGTACACACCACAATAATTAGAAACTTCATTAAACAGATTCTTCAAATACACACTTAGTGCGTACAGATGAAAAATCACCACAAATGCATATTGCAGAAGAAGAATGGACTGTAATTACTGCCCTAAGGATTAGGCAATTATGATTTTACAGTTAGTTATGCAGAAATGAGAACCTGCATGCAACGTTTAATGTAGCAAATGAGAATTTTATAACTATTCCCCTCTGCTTCCCAGCACCTAATTTGCTTCAAGCAAAGCTACTGCTTTGGAAAATGTATGTTTCCAATAGCTAAAGAAATTACCAGAGACTGGCAAAGTATTTTACTACTAAATTTCCTGCCTCCGACATTCTTCACAGGACATCTGTGTCAGTTCTTTCTCAGTTTTCCTGCCCTGCACTTTTAGTTTTTTCCTTCTGGACTACAGTCAGTCCTCCACACTGACTGGGGTTAGGGGCACAAGATCCTCATTGAAGTGAAAAAACACTAATTCAGAAATTGTTGATTTCAGAGAATACCTATCCAGGAATTTCTAGTCTTCCAGCATAACTCTTTCATCACTTTTTTCTGTAAGCTGACCACAGAATCACATCGGAGGATCTAGAGAGGTGGTCTCTCTAGAAATATCCAGCATAACTAGAGGAAGTTGACAAAGAATATTTTGAATTGTTGGCAACACTGTGAACTGCCCTGAGTTCCCTTCGGAGTTGAGAAGGGCGATATATAAATACCGCAAATAAATAAATAATAGATATTTTTTCTTCAAATCCATGAATAATTAAATCTGCAAAAGTCAAAACTGCAAATCGAGAAATTTCGTGTCCCAGTACCCAAGTAAAATAGTGTAGGAAAAACTATGCTACCATTTCATGAGTTTACAACTGCATAGCCCACATTTCAGAGATGAAAACCAGGATATGTGTGAATAAGCAGCATCAGAGTCAGGCCTGTAGCCGGGGGGGGGGGGGGGGGGGGGGGGTGGGGAGGGGTTCAAACCTGGTTTACTCATGAATTTTAACTGGTTAACCAAATTCCCATGCTAAGTGTACGAGACGCAAAAAAATTAAGAGTCCCTCCAGAACTGCAAGCACTATCTCAAGCAAATATTGACAATTTATTCACACTGTCATTACTTGCAGCAATAGCCGATGTAGTGAAGCAACCAAGTTGGGGGGTGTGTGTTGAATGCTCTCATTAAGGAGGCCAGACTTGGTGGAGGTGGTTGACGGGGCGGAGCTGCAGGCTATTGAAGGCTGCTCTGCCCCCTACTGTGCTCTTTGCTTCAGTGTGAGCTAGGAAGCAGGTTTCAACCCACCCCACCCCCCAAATGTTCAAAAATCCCCTGAAATTTTCAAACCCCCCCCCCATTTTTTTCTGGGTACGGCCCTGATCAGAGTATGGTCAAAATGGCAAACATTATTAATGAGGAAGAACACACAAGCTAGGAGAGGTCACAAGAAATTGCTTTTTCCTGAGTCAATGGGAAAGAACACCTCCTTTCTCATTAATTGCACTGTGGAGAATAATACTTTGGCACGCTGAACTCCGTTTCCAGCAACTGATATAATAAAGGAAAATGAAAAAAGTTGAGAGAAACTGAAACATCTTTAAAGCCCCTGAACAAATGGGATGACAGAAGATTAATCAGATCTCTCCCTACTAAACTCAAATAGTTGCTGAATATGTTACTCTATCTCTCCAAATAGGCACCAGCCACAAATATAAACCCAGGGGGGAAAAAGCATAGCCCACATAGTAGGTGTAACCACAAACCAACAAACAACCAATGCAGAAATACCTTGATAGGTCTTTAAATGTTCCCATTCCTCTTCCACAAACACATATACCACACAACAAAAGCAGAAAAATTCTTCTCTAAGGGCATGGGCCACACAGCCCTATATCCCAGAATACCAAGGCAGAAAATCCCACATTATCTGAGTGTGAACTGAGGAAACATTGCAATTTTCAAGAGATCATTTTCTAGGACTCCCTTTAGCCTGCTATAAAGCAGACTTTTTTTTTTACTTTAGCCCCTTAGAACCTGAATGAATTTCAAATGAATTTAAGAAAGGTTTATGGGCTGCAAATGATGTCAACATGAAGACCTGCCTATAAAGTGGGGAAAGGAAGCAAAAGATGCAGCGATTACTGTTCTTGTGTATTACAAATCGGTGAGAAAGTGTTTCTCTGATAGGAAGAATCCCAAAGTCCAGTCATCTGAATTTAAAAACCCACACTCCAGCTACTGAGTAGACTTCTGAACTGACCCTTGACACGGATAAGTAGGCAGAGACCATAACTTCCATCAAACCTAACGGCATGTCTTTTTTCCAGTCCAGGAAAAATGCGGAACAAGTAACTCTCTTCAAGAAACATTTGTTTCTTCTCCCACAATGCTTCCTCTTGCAGACTCTGCAAAGAGCAAGTCAAATTGGAAAGCAATTGTGTTCATTACAAATGCTCTTTAAATAGGATAATTGAGAAAAAAAACAAACTGGCAGTGATAGTTTTAGTACAGTATTAACACAGAGGTCCAGTGATGAAGACAAGCTTTTCAAAGATGCATTGCTCACCTATATCAATTTTCAACCAGCCAGCACCTTTCATCACCTACCTATTGATGAACTTAATGCATATCAAAACAATAGGAGCTCTAAAAAGATATATTCTTAAACCACAAATACCCAAACCCTCCATGTACTGCCAAGTTGCAAGTTTCTGGGAAGAGTAGCCCAAAAAAGTAAGTTTTCAGAGCTCTGAGAATATCTGTCCCACAATGAGAAGAATCTGAGCATGGAATGAATTTCTGCAGCAACATTCTTCAACCAGAAAGAGATACAATTGTCTCCCCAACTATCCCTCCACACTTGCACCTTCGACTTTTGTGGGTTTGATTACTCACAGCTTTGATTAAAGTCCTTTCTTTAGCAATCTCTAGTTCCACCCATGCAATCCTATAGTCAGCTTTCAGCAGATGTCAACCAGTCATGCTGAAAGACCAAGAAATCCCTAGAATAGTGTTGTCTTGGATTAAAAAAGCATACAAACAGTAATGTCTACCTCTGAGAATGCTTGCCATAGATGCAGGCGAAACGTCYGGAGAGAATGCCTCTAYACCATGGCCATATAGCCCGAAAAAACCTATAACAACKCAGTAATGTCTTTATTTGTTGGCTTTTCACTTTCACAGAAATCCCCAGAAAATGTGCAGGGCTGGCTGTTATGCYTTCTTGATATTTTACTATATAAGTACATAAACTATGAGATMAATTTGTGACAAAGRAAAATTGTCTGCAGACAACKWAGRACAGGTTTGRTCTTTGTTTTGTTTTGTTTTGTTTTTTGGTAAACTMGAAAGATGTCTCGCCCTCTTCTTTGTTGCTTTCCACTCTRTCTTCTTGRTGGCTGACAAGTATGRTA